GAAAGTGAGACCAGTGTTTTTTGATTAAATCAGAGGATATGACACAGTAACATTTACCTGTCCTCAAAATATTATTACTTTAACCATACACAAAATTGCCAAGATTTTAGCCATTTGTTAAGTCCTCTAATTATATATTAAATAATTTCATTTGTAGCTGAACCCCCTTGTAAAATAGAGCTGTGTCTGCTCAGTTATTTTCTAAATATTACATTCTATTTATATATGTGAGTTGAATGGACCAGGTGATACGTATGCATGCAAGGAGAGAGGAATACTGTCATATTTTCTATAATTTATCTATAGAAGGTAACGGAGTGAATCTTCTAGAAATATAAAAATAGTAGCCTGACATTGTTCATTTTTACTTTTTGAGAACTTGTGTAAGTCATTTGTTCTCTTTTTGCCTCAAGTTCTTTATTAATATCAGTAGTGCTGGACTATATCCTGTCTGAGATACTGTGATCAAATTATTATGTATCCAGGGATTTCAGCCCTTGGCTGTAAATCATTATCAATGGGAGAAATTTTGATTCAGCAGGCTCAGGGCAGAGCCTTGGCATATATACTTTTAAGATGGGCCACAAGTGAATCTGATAATTCAGCCAAGGTATGGAATAATTCTTCTAGGCTTTTTTATTCAAAGAACAAAATAGAAATCTTTAAGTCTATATTATTTCTTAGGCCTTAACGACATTTCATACCTTGCTGAGAAAAAGTATCAGTGGATGTAGCAGTGGTAAAATTGCTGCGGTATATCTCATTATAAGACAAGTACATTGTTACTGGTAGAAAAATGATCAAAATGAATAGTGTATTAATCAGATTTCTCCAGAAAGATAAGACAATAATAGGAGATATACATATCTCCTATTATTTTACATATATGTAGAGAGAGAGAGAGAGAGAGGCGGGTGATGTATAGGATAATAGGAAATAGTTGAATATATATACTATAGAAATAATAGGACATATATATATACACATATATATGTCATATATATATATATAGAGAGAGAAATTTAAAGGAATTCATTTATGCGACTGCGGGGGTTGAAAATCCGAAGTCTGTAGAGCTGGTTGTAGGTTAGAAATTTGGGCAAAATTGATGTTGTAGTCCTGATTTTGATGGCTGGAAACTCAAACAGATTCCTGTGTTTCAGTCTGGAGGGACAATTCCATCTTCTTGGGAGAATTTTGTCTTTTTCCTGAAAGCCTTCAACTGATTGGATGATTCTCACCCATCCTATGGAGGGTAAATCTGATTTACTCAAAGTCTACTATATAAAGTGTTAAATCACATCCAAAAAATACCTTCACAGCAACATCTAGACTGTTTGACCAACTATTTGGGCACTGTAGCCTAGCTATGTTGGCACAGAAAATTAACCATCACAGAAAGTAAACTTAGCAAGAGTTAATAAAAGCAAAAGAATTCCAAAGAGGGTTGGATCAGAGTGAACAAGATTGGGTATCCGAGAAAGGCTGGCAGGTGCTGCATGCGGGTAGAAGAGACAGCAAGGTTGCAGATAACTTGAGTCTGCTGGAGCATGAAAACGGTGTCCTGAGTTAAGTTTGCAATAAAGGTTGTAGGTAACTAAAAGCAGTCAGAGGCACACAAAGATATCAGAACTGGGAATACTTAGGCTCCATTAAACCAACGCACTTCATCACATTGATTTTCATTGTTCGTTCTCATTCTCTTGTTTGCTTATTCATTACATGCTGCTCCACTCAGAGCATTTTGACTTGCTTGAACATTTCTTTATTAGCCTCTTGGTGTTGGTTTTGCTTGTCAGCTACACCATTCATTTCTGGAGTAACACTTCATACTAAGGCAGTTGGTGCTTCTTGACTGAAAAGGCCAGTTGTAATTTCTCTGCACTCTATAATGATGTCAGTTTTCTTTAACCCAAGAAGGGCAGTTTGCACAAGTAAGTTGTTTTCACTCCTAGTTTTTTTGTTTGTTTTTTCACTGCCAGTCACCAAACTTTGTATCTTCTTCACTCTTCTATCATGACTTCATTATTCTGTGGGCCCACCAGGTATGTACATGTTACCTAAGTGAATTATTTTGCTCTCAGCCTATATCTAGTATATGCAGAAATTTAATTTTCCCCAAATTTGGTTACTTCGGATAATATCATTACTACTGTGGTTTTTAATCTCTTTGAAAGTCTTTGGGGCCTATAAAAGGCACAGGGCTTTAGAAAAGTAATTCTTACATATTGGTGTGTATAATTTAAAATCCATGTAAAATGTAGATTACTGACTCCACTTAGAAAAAAATTATGATTTACTGTATATGGGGGGGGCAACAAGTATGCATTTTAAAAAAGCTACAGCTTTCTCTCTTGTATGATTAATAGTGATTTGGTGATAATTCATCATGATGTAATCTATAGTTTAAAATGGAAATCTTTTATTTTAGAATAATCTCAGATTTATGAAACATTTGCAAAGGCTGTACACAGCATTTTCATGCACATTTCACTCAGCTTCCCCTAAAATTAATATCTTATAATGTACATGCATTTAAACTAAAAAATTAACATTAACATATTACTGTTAATTAAACTTCAGACTTAATTCAGATTTGTAGATTTTTTATGCTCATGCCCTTTTTTAGTGCCAGGGTCCAAGTCAGCCTACCACATTGAATTTAGTTGTCATGTCTCTTTAATCTAAAGTCTATGACCAGTTCTCAGTCTTTACTTGTTTCCCATGACCTTTATGGTTTTGAGGAATACTTGAGAATTTTGTAAGATGTCCCTGGACTTAGGTTTGTTAGATGTTTTCTCCTCAGTAGACTAGGATTCTGGAATTTAGGGAAGAATACTACAGAGGTGAAGTGTCTTTCTCATCACATCCTATCAGAGGAGTACATGATACCTACATGACTTCTCACTGCTGACATTAACATTCATCGCTTGGTTAAGGAGAGAGAATTGCCAGGCTTCTCCACTAAAAGGTCGCTATTTTTTTCCCATTCCATATTCTATTTTTTAGAATACAGCCCACACCCTGGAGAAGGCAATTAATTTCCACCTCCTGAAGGGAGGAGTATCCATGTACATTTTCTGAAATTCTTTGTAAAAATATTTGTACCTTTTCCCTCATTTATTTATTTGTAAAATTATTTATATCAGTATGGACTCACGGATATTTTATTTTATATTGTGTTATAATGTTTAAATTTTAATGCATTTTGTTGCCTAAATTGTTTTAACTTTGGCCATTAAGTGCTCTTTTGGTCTGGTTCCTGATCTGCTTCTAATCTTTTGTTTTCTGAGCACTTCTGTATTTTCTGGCATTACATAACACTCCAGGTTCATCTTGTGTTTTCACTGCCCCAGGCCTAGAATTACTCATTTCTCCAAGGATATCTCTGTTTTGTTTTGCTTTTGTTATTTTAGACAATGGTATTTAGAAACCAAGATTTGGGCGCTGGAAGTACTTACTGTTACTTGGGTGTCAATTTTTTCTAGTTTCTCAGCAGAGACAGAGCTATAAAATACAAACATGTATACTATATATCTCTATACATGTTAAACTACTGTGTATTATACATTTTTTGTTTTGTGTTCTTTGTTTTCTTATTGTTAAGTTTTAAGAATTATTTATGTATTCTAGATGTGAGTCCTTTATAATATTCTACTGTGAAAAGTGATTAAAATGAAGTGGCTTTAAGGAACAAAAACTATTTTAATGAACAGTCACATGAAAAATTTTATATAGGCCCAATTGAACTTTAGGAGATTCAATATGTGTGTGTGTGTGTGTTTTGGGGGGGGGGGGGATTATTTAGAATACAGAAGATTTTTTTCAAACTCTCATGCATTTTAGATAAGTGAGTACTCATGTGAGCTTGCTAGTTAGATATTGCTATAGAGAATTGTTGAAGCTTTGGCTCTTGAATGTAACATACAGTCCATGGTATTTTTCTAAGTAAGAAAGTTAAAAATAAATCCATATCAAATTTGGTCTTACCACCCTCACATTATGAAATCTACTAAATATCCTGAGACTTTAACATCGATTCTTATAATCAACAAATGAAAATATTTGTGATATTTAAATGTATGATATTGCTTCTCCTTTATATAGACATCAAATGTAGAATATTTTTATTTTCAAACTGTAGTAATACTATATAAATTAACAATATTTTACAGGATGTTTATTCTGTTCCAGATACTATACAAAAGTCATGTTATATAGATTATCTTGATTTACACATAATCCAGTTCTTTGATTTAATGAGAAACCCAAGAGAAATATACACTGTGTCTGTTTTACAGAGGAGGAGCCAAAGGAAAGAGAGGCATTGATCATACCTCATTTACAAGGAGGAACTATGGTATACCTGCTTGTAATGGTAGAAAACATTGTTCAGCTGCACCTAACAAGGGAAGTAAGAAAACTTCTTTTTAAAAATGAGTAAGAATGTACAGAAAAAAATTATTATGTGATAAGAAAATGATATGCTTAAGGAATAATGCAGGCTGAATTTGTCTATAATTAAAATTTTTTATAAAAATGCTTTTCATAGTGTTGTTTTAAGCACTACAAGAGCGATAAAAATTTAACTGATATTATTTAAAGGAAAATGAAGGATTGCAACTGGACTGGCGGGGGTATAACGATATTCAGATTGGAAAGGAAGAAGGGAAACTGTCTTTAGTTACAGATGACACTATCATATATACAGAAAGTTCAATTAAATATACAAAAATTCTTCTGAACATTATGAGTGAGTTTTCCAAGGTTGTATGATACCAATGGATATACAAACATCAATATTTATGTATGCTAACAACAAAAAGTTGGAAATTGCAACTAAAAAAATACTACACATAATAATATGAAAAACAATATTTAGGAAAAATCCGGACAGAAAAAGATGTGAAAGGCACATACACTAAAAAATACACAATATTCCTGAGAAAATGAAAAATCACATAAACAAATATAAAGATGTATGTTTCTCAGTGGTCAGATTTCCTATTGTTAACATGCCAATTATCCTCAAATTGATCTATAGATTCAACAGAATCCTAATCAAATTCTCAAAGGACTTTTTCTTTTTGACATTGACAAACTGACTTTAAAATTTCTACAGAAATGCAAAGGACCTAGGAAGAACTAACTTTGTAAAAGAACATTGTTAAAGGACTAAGACAGCCTAATTTCTAGATTTATTATAAAGCTAAAGTAACCAACAGAGTGTGAAATTTCCATGAGAGAAAAATAAATGGAAGAGAAAAAAGTGCACAGAAATTGACCTTCAAAAAATATACACAACTGATACTCTACCAATTTCCAAATGTAATTCAGTGGAGAAAAGATTGTCTTTACAAAAATAGTTCTAAAATTATCAGATATATGTAAGCAAGAGGTACATTTTTAAATAAAAACTTTGATTTATATATTGTGCTGTTTACAAAAATTAAAACCTTGTCCTTTGGATAGGCCAAGTTTTCACAGATACATCAAAAGAAGCACAATCCAGAAAAGAACAAATTGATACATTGGACTTCATCAAATTAAAAAAACTTCTCTTTGATACTGTTAAGACAATGAAAGGGAAAAGCCAAGGATGAAGTGAAAAATTTGCAAATCATATATCTGATAACCTGTTTACATCTAGAACACAGCAAGGATTCTCAAAACTAAATATGACATCCAGCAACACAATTTAAAAACGGGGGAAAAAATCCACAGAAACTTCAACCGAGGAGAGATAAGGATGGCAAATAAGCAAATATAGAGATGTTCAATACCAGTAGTCATTAGGACACACAAATGAAACCCAGAATGAGATTGCACTACACACCTGTTAGAATCCGGCTGCACAGGTGGCGTCAGCGCTGCCCAGCCTCCAGGAAGGAACCTAGGCTGCACGTGGCTGGCGGTCTCCTAGCGACTAGAGCGGCAGGGATCAGGAACCGCGGAAACTGGAGAGGTGGCACCCCAGCAAGGGCCACCATGGGGGACCAGAGGCCGCAGGACTGGCCGAAGTCCCCGGGCATGGACTTCAAGCCCTGGTACTGTGACAAACCGCCTTCCAAGTGCATCGCGAAGCGCAAGTACAGGCGCCTGAGGTTCCCGCCCATGGACACCCAGAACTGGGTATTCGTGACAGAGGGCATGGACGACTTCCGCTACGGCTGTCCGTCTCCTGAAGATACGCTCATTTGTCGCCGTGACGAGTTCTTACTCCCCAAAATCTATCGCAGAGGTCCCCAAACTGACACCAAAAGCGGGCAGAAAAAGTTGCTCAAGAAAGCGGCCCTGTTTTCCAAGCTCTCTCCAGCCCAGCTAGCACGGAAGACGTTCGTAGAGGAAGTGGAAGCCCAGCTGACGGCCAAGCATCCCTTGGCCATGTACCCCAGTCTTGGAGAAGATATGCCTCCAGATCTCCTACTACAGGTGCTGAAACTGCTGGATCCTGAGAGGAAGCTGGAGGATGCTTGGGCCCGTTGTGAGGCCCGGGAGAAAACAACCGAGGTACCCACAGAGCCTGGTAAATACCCCTGTGGGGAACTCTGCCCAAAGCCTCCCGAGACTCCGGTGTCCCATCTCCGCCCGGAGCCTCCCAAGACTCCGGTGTCCAGTCTCCACCCGGAGCCTCCTGAGTCTGGAGTGTCCCATCCCCGCCCGGAGCCTCCCAAGACTCCGGTGTCCAGTTTCCGCCCAGAGCCTCCCGAGACTGGAGCGACCCATCTCGGCCCGGAACATCCCAACACTCGTCGGGTGTCCAGTCTCCTACGACAGCTACTGAAACTGGATTCTGAGAGGAAGCTGGAAGACGCACGGGCTCGTTGTGAGGGCCGGGAGAAGACAACCAACGAACACACAGAGCCTGGTAAATACACTTGTGGGGAATTCTGCCTGCGGCCTTTCGAGACTCCGTTGTCCAGTCTCCGCTCAGACCCTCCCGAGACTGGAGTGTCCCGTCTCCGCCCAGAGCCTCCCAAGACTAGGGTGTCCAGTCTTCCCCTGAAGCCTTCCGACACTAGAGTGTCCCATCTTCGCCAGGAGCCTCCCAAGACTCCGGAGTCCAGTCTCCGGCCAGAGCCTCCTGAGACTGGATTGTCCCATCTCTACCAAGAGCCTCTCAAGACTCGTCGGGTGTCCATTCTCTGCCGTGAGCCTCCAGAGACTGGAGTGTCCCACCTCTGCCCGGAGCCTCCCGACACTCGCGTATCTCATCTCCACCGGGAGCCTCTGGAGACTGGAGTGTCCCATCTCCACCTAGAGCCTCCCAAGACTCGTCGGGGGTCCAGTCTCCACTCGGACCCTTCTGAGACTGGAGTGTCCCATCTCCGCCTAGCGCCTCCCAAGACTCGTCGGGGGTCCAGTCTCCACTCAGAGCCTTCCGAGACTGGAGGGTCCCATCTCCGCCCGGAGCCTCCCAAGACTGAAGTGTCTCATCTCCAGTCAGTGCCTCCCAAGACTGGAGCGTCCCATCTCCGCCCAGAACCTCCTGACACTAGTCGGGTGTCCAATCTCCTACTATACATGCTGAAAGTGCTGGATTCTGGGAGGACGCTGAAGGATGTATGGGCTCGTTGTGAGGCCCGGGTGAAGAAAACCGAGGAACCCACCGAGCCTGATAAATTCCCTTGTGGGGAACCCTGCTTGCAGCCTCCGGAGACTCAGGTGTCCCATCTCCACCCAGAACCTCCCAAGACACGTCGGGCGTCCAGTCTCCACCCGCAGCCTCCCAAGACTCGTCGGGCGTCCAGTCTCCGCTCGGATCCTCCCAAGACTCGTCGGAGGTCCAGTCTCCGTCCAGAGCCTCCCAAGACTCGTAGGGTGTCCAGTCTCCGCCCGGAGCCTCCCAAGACTCATCGGGTGTCCAGTCTCCGCCCGGAGCTTCCCAAGACTCGTCGGGTGACCAGTCTCAGCCCGGAGCCTCCCAAAGCTCCAGTGTCCCATCAGTTCTCGGAGCCTCCCAAGATTCGAGCGTCCTACATAAAAGAACTGTTTCACGAAGATACACCAAACACAACAGAGTGTGTTTCTGACTCTCTTCAATATAGATACACATCAGAAAAACTCCGTGAATTCTTCAAGTGGGCTGCAGACCTGGGAGCTGATGAAGAATCCATCAGGAATCTGTGTGACTTTACCCCCAAGTACAGAGAAACCTATTACGACCAAAAGCTTAAGAAGGTAAAAGAGTATTCCTCAGAGCTGAAGTACAGCATGGAGCTAGATGAAATGGATGAGGCTAAATTCTTCTCACAGGAAAAATACTGGGGCAGGAAATTCCACACGCCATCGAATTCTTATACTGCACAGCGTGTGAAGATGAAGTATGGAGCATGGTACCTCAAGCCTAAGTTGTGGAAAAAGCTAAGAAGTGATGAACATTTGATTGACCCCAAGCTCTTGCTTGAAAAGCCTGATGAACCTGACATTCTTGACGAACTTTATGGACCAATTGCCTTTAAGGATTTCATTCTAAGCAAGGGCTACGAAATGCCTGGCATCCTTGAAAGACTGTTTGCCAAGAAGGGATGGACTTATGACTCTGTTAAGACTCCCATTCAACGTGCAATACGATTTTACAAGTACAAAGAAAACGCAGACGCATCGGAAGAAGATTAGGTGGTTTTCAATTTACTATTTAATTGGGTATTTCTTGCTCTCATTTTTTTTTTTTTTTAAATTTATTTATTATTATTAAACTTCAAGTTGTAGGGTACATGTGCACAATGTGCAGGTTTGCTACATATGTATACTTGTGCCATGTTGGTGTGCTGCACCCATCAACCCGTCATTTACATAAGGTATAACTCCCAATGCAATCCTTCCCCCCTCCCCCCTCCCCATGATAGGCCCCGGTGTGTGATGTTCCCCTTCCCGAGTCCAAGTGATCTCATTGTTCAGTTCCCACCTATGAGTGAGAACATGCGGTGTTTGGTTTTCTGTTCTTGTGATAGTTTGCTAAGAATGATGGTTTCCAGCTGCATCCATGTCCCTACAAAGGACACAAACTCATCCTTTTTTATGGCTGCATAGTATTCCATGGTGTATATGTGCCACATTTTCTTAATCCAATCTGTCACTGATGGACATTTGGGTTGATTCCAAGTCTTTGCTATTGTGAATAGTGCTGAAATAAACATACGTGTGCATGTGTCTTTATAGCAGCATAATTTATAATCCTTTGGGTATATACCTAGTAATGGGATGGCTGGGTCATATGGTACATCTAGTTCTAGATCCTTGAGGAATCGCCATACTGTTTTCCATAATGGTTGAACTAGTTTACAATCCCACCAACAGTGTAAAAGTGTTCCTATTTCTCCACATCCTCTCCAGCACCTGTTGTTTCCTGACTTTTGAATGATCGCCATTCTAACTGGTGTGAGATGGTATCTCATTGTGGTTTTGATTTGCATTTCTCTGATGGCCAGTGATGATGAGCATTTTTTCATGTGTCTGTTGGCTGTATGAATGTCTTCTTTTGAGAAATGTCTGTTCATCTCCTTTGCCCACTTTTTGATGGGGTTGTTTGTGTTTTTCTTGTAAATTTGTTTGAGTTCTTTGTAGGTTCTGGATATTAGCCCTTTGTCAGATGAGTAGATTGCAAAAATTTTCTCCCATTCTGTAGGTTGCCTCTTCACTCTGATGGTAGTTTCTTTTGCTGTGCAGAAGCTCTTTAGTTTAATGAGATCCCATTTGTCAATTTTGGCTTTTGCTGCCGTTGCTTTTGGTGTTTTAGACATGAAGTCTTTGCCCATGCCTATGTCCTGAATGGTACTACCTAGGTTTTCCTCTAGGATTTTTATGGTATTAGGTCTAACATTTAAGTCTCTAATCCATCTTGAATAAATTTTCATATAAGGAGTAAGGAAAGGATCCAGTTTCAGCTTTCTACTTATGGCTAGCCAGTTTTCCCAGCACCATTTATTAAATAGGGAATCCTTTCCCCATTTCTTGTTTCTCTCAGGTTTGTCAAAGATCAGATGGCTGTAGATGTGTGGTATTATTTCTGAGGACTCTGTTCTGTTCCATTGGTCTATATCTCTGTTTTGGTACCAGTACCATGCTGTTTTGGTTACTGTAGCCTTGTAGTATAGTTTGAAGTCAGGTAGCGTGATGGCTCCAGCTTTGTTCTTTTGACTTAGGATTGTCTTGGAGATGCGGGCTCTTTTTTGGTTCCATATGAACTTTAAAGCAGTTTTTTCCAATTCTGTGAAGAAGCTCATTGGTAGCTTGATGGGGATGGCATTGAATCTATAAATTACCTTGGGCAGTATGGCCATTTTCACGATATTGATTCTTCCTATCCATGAGCATGGTATGTTCTTCCATTTGTTTGTGTCCTCTTTGATTTCACTGAGCAGTGGTTTGTAGTTCTCCTTGAAGAGGTCCTTTACATCCCTTGTAAGTTGGATTCCTAGGTATTTTATTCTCTTTGAAGCAATTGTGAATGGAAGTTCATTCCTGATTTGGCTCTCTGTTTGACTGTCACTGGTGTATAAGAATGCTTGTGATTTTTGCACATTAATTTTGTATCCTGAGACTTTGCTGAAGTTGCTTATCAGCTTAAGGAGATTTTGGGCTGAGACAATGGGGTTTTCTAAATATACAATCATGTCGTCTGCAAACAGGGACAATTTGACTTCTTCTTTTCCTAACTGAATCCCCTTGATTTCTTTCTCTTGCCTGATTGCCCTAGCCAGAACTTCCAACACTATGTTGAATAGGAGTGGTGAGAGAGGGCATCCCTGTCTTGTGCCAGTTTTCAAAGGGAATTTTTCCAGTTTTTGCCCATTCAGTATGATATTGGCTGTGGGTTTGTCATAAATAGCTCTTATGATTTTGAGGTACGTTCCATCAATACCGAATTTATTGAGCGTTTTTAGCATGAAGGGCTGTTGAATTTTGTCAAAAGCCTTTTCTGCATCTATTGAGATAATGATGTGGTTCTTGTCTTTGGTTCTGTTTATATGCTGGATTATGTTTATTGATTTGCGAATGTTGAACCAGCCTTGCATCCCAGGGATGAAGCCCACTTGATCATGGTGGATAAGCTTTTTGATGTGCTGCTGAATCCGGTTTGCCAGTATTTTATTGAGGATTTTTGCATCGATGTTCATCAGGGATATTGGTCTAAAATTCTCTTTTTTTGTTGTGTCTCTGCCAGGCTTTGGTATCAGGATGATGTTGGCCTCATAAAATGAGTTAGGGAGGATTCCCTCTTTTTCTATTGATTGGAATAGTTTCAGAAGGAATGGTACCAGCTCCTCCTTGTACCTCTGGTAGAATTCAGCTGTGAATCCATCTGGTCCTGGACTTTTTTTGGTTGGTAGGCTATTAATTATTGCCTCAATTTCAGAGCCTACTATTGGTCTATTCAGGGATTCAACTTCTTCCTGGTTTAGTCTTGGAAGAGTGTAAGTGTCCAGGAAATTATCCATTTCTTCTAGATTTTCCAGTTTATTTGTGTAGAGGTGTTTATAGTATTCTCTGATGGTAGTTTGTATTTCTGTGGGGTCGGTGGTGATATCCCCTTTATCATTTTTAATTGCGTCGATTTGATTCTTCTCTCTTTTCTTCTTTATTAGTCTTGCTAGTGGTCTGTCAATTTTGTTGATCTTTTCAAAAAACCAACTCCTGGATTCATTGATTTTTTGGAGGGTTTTTTGTGTCTCTATCTCCTTCAGTTCTGCTCTGATCTTAGTTATTTCTTGCCTTCTGCTAGCTTTCGAATGTGTTTGCTCTTGCTTCTCTAGTTCTTTTAATTGCGATGTTAGAGTGTCAATTTTAGATCTTTCCTGCTTTCTCTTGTGGGCATTTAGTGCTATAAATTTCCCTCTACACACTGCTTTAAATGTGTCCCAGAGATTCTGGTATGTTGTATCTTTGTTCTCATTGGTTTCAAAGAACATCTTTATTTCTGCCTTCATTTCGTTATGTACCCAGTAGTCATTCAGGAGCAGGTTGTTCAGTTTCCATGTAGTTGAGCGGTTTTGATTGAGTTTCTTAGCCCTGAGTTCTAATTTGATTGCACTGTGGTCTGAGAGACAGTTTGTTATAATTTCTGTTCTTGTACATTTGCTGAGGAGTGCTTTACTTCCAATTACGTGGTCAATTTTGGAGTAAGTACGATGTGGTGCTGAGAAGAATGTATATTCTGTTGATTTGGGGTGGAGAGTTCTATAGATGTCTATTAGGTCTGCTTGCTGCAGAGATGAGTTCAATTCCTGGATATCCTTGTTAACTTTCTGTCTCGTTGATCTGTCTAATGTTGACAGTGGAGTGTTGAAGTCTCCCATTATTATTGTATGGGAGTCTAAGTCTCTTTGTAAGTCTCTAAGGACTTGCTTTATGAATCTGGGTGCTCCTGTATTGGGTGCATATATATTTAGGATAGTTAGCTCTTCCTGTTGAATTGATCCCTTTACCATTATGTAATGTCCTTCTTTGTCTCTTTTGATCTTTGATGGTTTAAAGTCTGTTTTATCAGAGACTAGTATTGCAACCCCCGCTTTTTTTTGTTCTCCATTTGCTTGGTAAATCTTCCTCCATCCCTTTATTTTGAGCCTATGTATGTCTCTGCATGTGAGATGGGTCTCCTGAATACAGCAGAATGATGGGTCTTGACTCTTTATCCAGTTTGCCAGACTGTGTCTTTTAATTGGAGCATTTAGTCCATTTACATTTAAGGTTAAGATTGTTATGTGTGAACTTGATCCTGCCATTATGATATTAACTGGTTATTTTGCTCGTTAGTTGATGCAGTTTCTTCCTAGCCTTGATGGTCTTTACATTTTGGCATGTTTTTGCAATGGCTGGTACCGGTTGTTCCTTTCCATGTTTAGTGCTTCCTTCAGGGTCTCTTGTAAGGCAGGCCTAGTGGTGACAAAATCTCTAAGCATTTGCTTATCTGTAAAGGATTTTATTTCTCCTTCACTTATGAAACTTAGTTTGGCTGGATATAAAATTCTGGGTTTAAAATTCTTTTCTTTAAGAATGTTGAATATTGGCCCCCACTCTCTTCTGGCTTGAAGAGTTTCTGCCGAGAGATCTGCTGTTAGTCTGATGGGCTTCCCTTTGTGGGTAACCCGACCTTTCTCTCTGGCTGCCCTTAAGATTTTTTCCTTCATTTCAACTTTGGTGAATCTGGCAATTATGTGTCTTGGAGTTGCTCTTCTCGAGGAGTATCTTTGTGGCGTTCTCTGTATTTCCTGGATCTGAATGTTGGCCTGCCCTACTAGGTTGGGGAAGTTCTCCTGGATGATATCCTGAAGAGTGTTTTCCAACTTGGTTCCATTTTCCCCGTCACTTTCAGGCACCCCAATCAGACGTAGATTTGGTCTTTTTACATAATCCCATACTTCTTGCAGGCTTTGTTCATTTCTTTTTCTTCTTTTTTCTTTTGGTTTCTCTTCTCGCTTCATTTCATTCATTTGATCCTCCATCGCTGACATTCTTTCTTCCAGTTGATCGAGACGGTTACTGAAGCTTGTGCATTTGTCACGTATTTCTCGTGCCATGGTTTTCGTCTCTTTGATTTCGTTTGTGAGCTTCTCTGCATTAATTACTCTAGCCATCAATTCTTCCACTTTTTTTTCAAGATTTTTAGTTTCTTTGCGCTGGGTACGTAATTCCTCCTTTAGCTCTGAGAAATTTGATGGACTGAAGCCTTCTTCTCTCATCTCGTCGAAGTCATTCTCCGTCCAGCTTTGATCCGTTGCT